AACGCCAGCTGCCTCCCTGGGTCTGCACTGTGTGCTTGCCTCTGAGGGTCTCTTCAGCCCAGGAATCCCTTCTTTTCCCTACCCGGTTCCTTTCATGGTTCCCCACACCTTTGCTTTCCTTCTACTTTCTTGGAAACTCGTTTTTTCAACCTTGCGTCTCTTTCCATTTCCTCTGGAGAAATGATGCTTGCTGGAATTTCTAGGCAGCTTGGGAGGGAGCTCTGGCTCAAGTGTCCCTGAGTTGTTGTTTCCCTCCTGCCATTTCTTCTATTCTCATCTCTGTCCTTGGCCTGGCACCCTAGAGTCGGGGTTCCCAGCCCCAATGCCTCAGCATGGTGCCTCTGTGCCAGGTGAAACCTGACGCTCCACGAATCGACCCAGAAGCCTCTTTCCTCGCTGCCATGACTTTGGCAGGAGTGTGGGGCTGGTCGCTGGCTGGCTTGTCGTCAGGGTGGCCGCTGTCCGCGATGGTACTTGGCCCTTTGAAGCTGTGTTTGAAGTGAGGCCAAGCACCAGGCTTCCGCAGGGCTGGCAAAGACCAGCGCCCAACGCCCAGGCTAAATTTCCCATCAGGAGCTGGTAGCTTTTGCAGGCAGCTCAAATTGGACACCCCACAGGGCACCCCAGCTCTCGCTGCTGCTGCTTAAAGGCCACAGGAAGAGACTGCTTGCACCAAAGAGGACCAGGGTGGGTCACTGGGTGTCTCGAATGAGGATACAGTCAGTATGTCAATGAAATGTCGCAAGAGACCTCTGGAGAGTTGCCAGCTACACTGGAGGTAGCCCTGTTAGCCCTCAGGGGCCTGAGGAAGCTGGAGACAGTAGATGACCCATGACCCCAAGCACAGAGCCTGGCACATGGGCAGCCAGCCCTGGCCTCTGGCCCCCTCCATGGGCCAGCCGGGAGCTTCCTAAAGTGGTGCCCGGGGCCCGACATTGCAGATCTTCTCACCCACTTGGAAGAAGTTCAAGGGAATGTGGCCCAGAGTAACCCCAAGAGGCAGGCAAACCAGTCCCGAGCGAAGGCAGCTCACAGGCGCCCCAAGAGGACGCCGTGGAGAAAGAGGCTCAGAACCTGCCCAGAGAGGGTGGCAAGAGAGGGTTCCTGCAGGAGCAGGAAAGGTACCGGGGACTCCCACCACCCCAGCTTCACAAGGGACCTGCCCCCCAAAACCACTACCCAGCCTAACGGGGTCTGGACCCCAAACCCACTACCCCAGCCCCACAGGGGGTCTGCCCCCAAATTACTAAGCCAACTCCACAGGCTGCTTGCACCCCAAACCCCCAGCCCACAGGGGACTGGGCCCTTGAAACTAACCACCCCAGCCCCACAGTGGACCTGACCACCAATCCCGCTAACTCAGCACCACACGGGGCTTGCCCCCCAAACTCACTATCCCAGAAGCTCAGGGGGCCTGCCTCCTGAAAACTATTACCTCAGCCTCACAGGGTGCCTGCCCACCAAACCCACTAACCCAGCAGCACAGGGAGCCTGCCCCCAAAAACCCACTACCCCAACCCCACAGGGGGCCTTCCCCCCAAACCCACCAGCCCAGCCCCACGGACGGCCTGAACCCCAAACCCACTACCCCAGTACCACAGTGGAACTGCTCCACTATACCCACTACCCCAACCCCACAGGAGGCCTGACCCCCTAAACCTATTACCCCAGCCCCACAGGAGACCTGCCCCCCAAACCCAATACCCCACTAGCACAGGGTGCCTGACCCTGCAAACCCACTACCCCAGCCACACAGGGGACCTGCCCCCCAACCACTCACTGCCCCCACCACACAGGGGGCCTGTACCCCAGAACCACTCACTGGCCCGGCATCTCAAAGCCCAACAATGAATGACACGTGACCTGCAGGGCCCTGGGGCAACAGAGCTGTCACTGTCTGGGGCAGCACCAGGTCCACAGACAAAGAATGACTCCTGATGCATCCAGGCCCTCCAGATGCCACATGTTTGTCTTGTGCCAACTGGAGTGCAGGGGACCCTGAGAGAGCCAGTCACAACTAATCTGATGGGCACGGGGCTCTCCCCTCTGCCATGGCCCCTCTGAGCCCCCAGAACACTCCCCTTGTGCTTCAAAGGTACCCTGGCAGGAGCTGGGCAGTGAATGCCCAGCACAACACTCGGGCAGCTAATGGAGCTGCCAGGATCCCAGATGGCAAAAGTGACAGTAGAGCCACTTCACTCGTAGGAGGACGCACCCGGAGGCAGAGCTGCCCCCGCTTCGAGACCCCTGGAGCGCGGTCACCCAAGTGCATTCTCAGAAGCCAGGTGGAGGCCTGTGGGGGGCAGGCTGCTACCCCAGGGACAGGTAGTGCCCACCCCATACCCAGCAGATCCTCCTGCATGGGGGCTGCAGAGCAGAGGCCCTGCGGCCATTGGCAGAGGGCAGCCGGGCCAGGACCCACGGGCACTAGCAGCATGTGCCCCAGACTTCCGCAAAGGGTGTCCACTCACTGTCTCCTTGGCCAACAGAAAGCCCAGCATGGGGGGAGTGACACCCAGATAGGACAACCAAAGGGGAACAAGAAGAGCCATGGAAGGCTGTGAGCCCTGAATTCCGCACCGGAAGCTGGAGCGCTGAGCACGGCCTCTCTGGCTTCTGTGGGTTCTGACCCCTGAGAAAGCCTGCACGAGGGGAGGCCAGAGAGGGGTGCGCCCGGGACTGCGAGGCTCACGTCAGAGGGGGAAGCGTGGGAGAAGCCCCCCGGCCACAACACATATGGAGAAGACACACACACCGTGTGCCACACAAATGAGTCTCACTCACCCTGTACATCACACAACACAAACCACATTTGCCCTGTACATCACGCTAAATCACACTCAATCTCTCTCACACAAACTCACATGTGCACACGCCCTGGCTCCCTGCTCTAGGGAGGCTGTGTTCTGCCCCCACCCTCTGTGGGAGCGCCCGTTGGCCAGGCTGAGTCCCCAACAGGTTTTAGCCACAGAAAGGCAAGGGGCCTCCAGCCTGAGACATGCCCCCACTCAGCAGGACCCTCTTAATTTCCACCCCAGGCAGGAGCTCTGGGCCAAGCACATGGATACCCCTGAACTGCAGGGGTGTTCTGGCAGTGACAGGGCAGAGACCTCACTCGTTCCCAGAGGAGGTACAGGTTCCAGGACTGACCCATGGACACTCCAGGTACAGTGTCTCTGCCCCCGCTGTCCTGGTCCAGCCCAAGTGGAGCCCATGAAGCCCAAGCCCTGTCCCATCTCCAGCCAGGTCAGGTGCTCATTCTGGCAGACAGGGAGGCTGGCGGGCACCCTGGCAGCACCACATCCCCACCGGCATCATAAACTGACAGCTGCGGGGGGCTGTTCTTGGCTGGAGCCCAACCCCACCACATCCCGTGGGGTTTCACCTGTGCCCAGTGCTTCTCCATCCCCCAGTGCCAAGCTGATTCCCCCCATTTCCAACACCGTCGATGACATAGGGACCTCAGAGACCGTGTAGGAACCGAATCATCTCTGAGGACCCCTGCCAAAAGTGGCAGGAGCTGCCCTGCTCAGGAGGGCGGGTACTTTTGTCCCTTTGCCCATAAACCCCAGATCTCCTAATACCATCAGTTCCCTCATCAGCATTGTCACTGCTGTGGCCCAGAGTTGACAGTGCAGGAGTTTAGGTGCATGCCTTGGATGCAGCCAACCTGGGTCCAATCCCTGGCACCACCAGGGGCATACCGAGAGCTCCCAAGTACTGCCAGGTGGCGTGGACTGCTCTCAGACCCTCAGCAGCACGCACTCAGACTGCTCAGCTGTCTCTGGGAAGGCCCCGGGGCCTCCTGAGCACTGCTTGGGGGGCCCCACCCCAAATACTTGCCAATGAAGATCCATTTCAGAGCTGTCAGGTCTCATCCCATCTTTCTCACCAATGGTACTGCAGTCAGCGCCGGTCCTCTGCTCCCACCTGCCCTCCTCCCAAGCCCACCACACCAGGATCACCACCACCCATTCTCAACCACCCAATTTATAGGGCCATTCCAATGTGACCACCAAGGGACCCCCTCATTTCACTTGCCTGGAAAGCAGTGTGGAAGGCAGAAGCCTCTGCTGGGTGTCCCTAGACCCCACTCCCATCCCACACTGTCCCCTCACCTGCCCCGAGGCGAGACCAGGTAAAACAGTCAACAGATTTATTGAAGGAAACTAGCTCTGAAAAGTATGATGACAGGAAGAGAGAAAGCAGCACACAGGAACAGCAGATGACCCTCAATGAGGTGTCTTCAGGAGAGCCTCACACAGCAGCACCCCTGCCCCACCCCCAGTCTCCATGCCGGGGTCCCACAGTGAAACTCTCACAGGAAAAGTAGATGCTGGCATGTCCTCTCACTGATGAGCGTGGCCCCGTCCTACGGCCAGGACAGTCATGCGACAGTGGAAAATAGCAGGAGACACTCCCGAGTGAAAATCGGTGACCCCGGGGTGGTACACAGCACAGACCACTGTCTCCAGTGACCGGGCCCAGGCATCCTGCATGCGAGTTGGGAACTGTCAGGGAAGCACGAGCACACCTCCACCAGCCCCCACCACGAGCTCTATCCCCGAGGGCAGCAGTGGGGCCTGCATGCCGCATGGCATCTATTGCGTGCAGCCGCCCCAGGGTCCCGCACACCCCTCGGGGCTCTGCACAAACTGAGGCTGTGGTGCCATGGTTACTTTTAGGGGCTCCCTCCTTGACTGGCAGATTTGGGGACAGAGGGGCCTCCGAATAAAGAATGCCTGTCCCGAGGGACAGTGAGGGGGCCTGTCTTAGGGCACAGGCAAGGGGACCCTGCAGACAGCCCGACATCGCAGACGAACATCTTTAGGGGCCCTCACAGAGGAGAGGGGTCCCTGGGCACGTTGCCCAAGTGAGGAGGTGGGGCTGAGGTTGGGTGCGGTGCCGCCGGAAGTGGGCAACACAGAGGCACCTCTAGAGGGCTGAGGGTGGTGATCAGGCCCCACGCCACCCTGCCCTGGCCCCGAGAGTCTCGGGACCTACTTGTCGGCAGGGCCATGTGGCTGGCTCTGCTGCACAGCCTGGCTCCCCGACTCCTTGCTTGCACCCTCCTCCTTGCCCTCCTGGTATTCTCCCCAGACCATGCTCTCAGGCTCACTGGCCACCTGGCCCAGAGGGGGCATAGGAGCACTCTCATCTCTCCCGGCAGCGCCGACTCCAGGAGCCATCTCAGCACCATGGCCAGGGCCAGCAGCCGCGCCCTGGGCCCCGTCACTGACTTGGCCGGCCAGGCAGACTGCGGCGGTGGCTTCTGGGCTCACAGGGTCGGCCTCCCAGGCCTCGGTCTCGCAGATGAGCTGCAGCATGCCCATGAAGTCGGGCGGCCTCCGCTCCAGCCGCAGCCGCCTCAGCTTCTTCTGCAGCACGTCGTTGGGGCGCGCCTGCATCAGCACCTGCCGCGCCCGCACCTGGTTGACCACGGCGGGGTTGATGGCACCCTTCTCCAGGGCGGTCTGCAGCAGGCCTTCCAGACGCATCACGTAGGCAAACAGCGTCTCCTGGGGCCCCTGGGCGCAGGTTACAAACTTCAGCCGGGCAGTGACCTGGGGGTCCTGGCTCCCGAACACCTGCACCAGGGCCACCAGGCAGTCGTGGACACCGATGTCCGGGTTTGTGTCCAGGAGATCCAACACCACTTGGCGCGCGGGGCCGTCCAGGCTCTCGAGCAGCCGTCGCCGCAGCTCCCTCTCCGGCACGTGGCGCCACAGGAACATCATGTCGTTGGCGTGATGCAGCCAGCTCTCAAACGTCTCGTTATAGCAATCAGCCTCCTGCAGCCCGGAGAAGGTTCTCAGCTCCTGGAAGGTCGAGCTCTCCAGCATGGGCTGCAGAGCCCGGCGCAACTGCTGCGTCCAGGACGCCTCCTCCAGCCCTGCTCCTGCCCGGCCTGCCAGTGCAGCCTCCCCAGCTGTGCCTGCCTCTTCGGCTGTGCCTGCCTCTTCGGCTGTGCCTGCCTCTTCGGCTGTGCCTGTCTCCATGGCTGTGGCCACCTCCCCAGCCACTCCGGCCGCGTCCGGGGAGCTCGCCCCACCTGCTGCTCTGCTGTCACCAGCAGCTCCTTCCTCATCCGACACCTCGTCACCTCCAGCTCCCTCCTCGCCTCTGTCGCCCTCCTCAAGCAGATCTCTGGGGGCCTCCTGTCCAGTCCCAACCATCTCTCCTGCCTCGCTGGCCCCAGCCTCAGCTGCAGCCTCCTCCTCACCAGAAGCTGCATCCTCGCTTGGAAATTGGACAGCGAATATTCCTGCCCGGCCATCAGCCCCTTCCTCCCCGGCCTCACCAGCCGAGGAGGGCCCCTGGGCGCCTGGGAAGCTGCCTCCCTCCTGCGACACCAAATCAGGTGTCTGGGAACGGACCACCACACTCCAGGGTCCTCCCTTGCCATGGATCTGCTGGGGGATCAGAGCCCAGTTTAAACATTCGGCGAACTCCACCAAGGCAATCTTGGCATTGATCTCCTTTCGGTAGACTTTGCCAAGCACCCGGTATCTGCCCAGGGGTTTCAGGACAGCGTGCACCGTCTCCTGGAACTCTGAATCCTCGCAGTCTTCAGGGATGCCCATGATGAGCATCGAGCACTGCTCACTGACGCCCAGCCACTGGCACCAGTCGTGAAGAATCGACAAAGGCTGCATCACAGCGGAGGCCAAAGGATGGAGCAGCAATCAGGATCAGACAGGTAGGAAGATGGTGTCTGTGGGTACAAAGAACAAGCGGGACCAGGGTGTAAGCCACCGGTCCTATGGTGCCTCCACGCCCCACTTGATTTCTTTGCTGAGAAACTGTCTTGATCACTCGGCTCAACCACGAAAGATAAAGCACATTGTGTAATTTGGCCAGTACTGATTTGAGGAAGCTCCCTTTCCTTCCTAAGAAAGGCGTGAAGTAATCAAATCAAAAAGTAATCCCTCACTCTTGTTTCACTCTCTCAGGTCCAGAGAGCTTCCCCTCTGCCTCTCCTGCCATGCAAAGTTCTAGTCTCTTTTTGGTCAGTATTACTAGGTCAGTGCTACTTGATCCCTGCTCTCCTCTGCTCCCCCAAACCCCCTCATCATTTCCCTGTGCTCTTTTTCTAGCTTCTCCTGAGAAAACTGTTTGGTTAGTTGCTCCTACGGTTGCGGGGGCCACTCCCAGAGGAACTGGGGGCAGCAATGCCAGGGTGGAGGGACCCTAGCTACGAGAGAGGTACTCGCTTACTTGAGCCTCAAGACCCCTTTCCCTAGCCCGACTTGCTGCCTCTCTCCCCTTGTTAGGCTCAGTGAGAGCGTGCCCTTTTCCTAACTGCTCTGTGCCTGTATGCCACGAACCCCACTCATTTCTACTCCTTGAATCAAAGTGAAAATGTTTTCGAAGTTTTTGCTGACTGATCCAAGGATTTCCAATTACATACGTCATTATTCGTGTCAAATCAAACTGCACTGTGCTCCTATGAATCGCTCTTGCCATTTTTGACTGCTAATGACTCAACTGCTGCTGTAGGCTGGTGAATGGACACTGCACCTGGTAAAAGTTCTGTTGCACAGAAAATAAGGCTTGCCCCTCCCCCCCACCATGCCAGGGACAAGATCCTCCAACTCCAGCTCCTACCGTCCCAGATTCTCCTTGTCCCCTTTCACTTGTCGCCATCTCAGCTGCACAGTTCCAGCACTACACCCCTCCCCCACGACTCCAGCTCACTAGGAAAGCATGCTCCCCAAGCAGGCCCCCCAGGCCCATGAGCTAGAGTCCCTTTTGAGTCCACCCTCCCAGCAGCCCTGTCCTGCCTCTATCCCTAACTCTTCCCTGAGGCCCACTGAGAAAGCACTTTCCCGGGATCTCACCCTTGTTCCTTGCTCCGGCTGGCTCCCACAAGCCTGCAGCAGAGTCCTCCCCATCGTCCCTGTCGCCTGAGAAGTACAAGTACTTTTCTTGTTTGGCCCCCAAACGTGTGGGGGACACCCAGAACAGGAGTCTTCTCCTGGACAGTCTCTGGATCTTCCAAAACACCTATCACTAGAACCCGAGCTGCAAGACTCCCACAGTCACCCCGCCAGTAACTCTCCACTGTAGCTTTCTCCCGGAGGGGAAGCACCACGTCTTAGTCTTGGCCTCCCGAAGTGCCCAGTCCCCGAAAGGCCTAATCCCTGAGTCCTCCTTGAAGCCTTCCCAAGCTCATCACCCATCATTTTTGGTCCCCTTAGTAGAAGTAGCCCCGGACGGTACCCCAGAAACGGAACACCTACCCGGGTCACCTTTCCATCCTGCAAAACAAGGCGCCAAACTTCAGAAGCTATCCCAAGCCCAAAGCCGACCCCCCCCCACCCTCTCCACCCCCGCTCGCTTCCTGCCACCAGCAACTCGCCACTGGAGTCATCTGAAGAAAATAGGCGCCAGGGGCTGTAACCCCCGAAGCGAGCACCCCCCATCTTGGGTAGTGTTTCAAACTGCCAAAGCACCTATCTCTGAAACAAACTCGACCGTCTCCCCGACGGTGGCGGAAGTTGCCGTCCCTTGCCGTCTGCACCTTCCACCACTGCTCATGATGCATCGGTAACTTTCCACTGCAGCCCCAGAGAAAAATAGCCCCCTGCGTGGGCTCCCCATTGAGTGCGCACCCTCACTCGCTACGGCTTTCGACCTCCCTGAATGCCCACCGCCAAAGCTCAAGGCCAAGTCTTCCCTGATGCCGGCTCAAGTCGGCCCCTCCCTCCTCAAGCGTGCACAAGTAGTCCCCCTCTCTAGCCTACTGAGAAAAAGCACCCGCCATGTGGGGGTCCGTCTTGTGGAGTCGTGCAACCGCTCCAAAGCCCCTATCACTAAAGCCCTTCCTCCTACCATCCACAGCGACTGCCCCCCGAGCTCCCCACCGCCCCCACCGGTAGAGCGGGCACCCCCATATGAGAGCTGCCCAAGCCTCCCAAAGTACTTGTCGGGAAAGCCGGACACTCACCCATGCGGCTCTGGCCCAACCCGACGAAGCCCCTGCCGGCTACAGGCTCCCCTCTGCCTTCCCGTGCTGGGCATCCGGTGGTCCTGCCTTAGCCTCGCCCTCCTGGCTGCTCCCCCCAGGCCGCCATTTTCTTCCAATTCAACCTCCTTCCCTCCCCTCAAGAACGCCAGTGGGCGTCCCCCCATGTACACCCTCCACGGCGGCCCCAAGTTTGAGCCACGCCCCCCCCGGCTGCGGGACTCCACCCTATCCTCACCCACCAGCCTCTCTCCCCTCTAACCTCAGACCCCCCACCTACCCCGTACCCTGGCAAGCCTTGCCGTCCCTGATTCCACGCACGACCTCCTCCCCGGGGCCCCAGAACCCCCCAGCTGCCGCCTCCGACCAACCCCCAACCGTGGGCCCCGGCCGAGTCACCAGCCCCCCTTACCGTGTCCGCCCCTCCGACTCGGGAAGCACCAGAAGGATCCGCGGAACCTGCTTGGCGGCCACAGCCAGTAACCACGCGGCCCTCTCCTCTGCAGAATGCTGAGCGAAGGACGGAGCAATGAGCCCTCCCACAATTCCCCAAGAAGGAACAGAAAGTTCTAGGCGCTCGTGCCAGACAGAAAGGTGATTGGCTGAAAAGAGCACGTGACACGGCGCCGTAATACTATAACAGCGAATGGTGGAGGCCTGATCTCGGGGTGGTGGGCGTGGCTGTGCCCCGCCCATCAAGGCGAGCCCTGGGGTTTGCGTGCAGCGATTCTGGCTTTTAAAAATGTCGGCCTTGGGGCCGGAGCAATGGCATAGCGGGTAGGGCGTTTGCCTTGCACGCGGCCGACCTGAGTTCGATCCCCAGCATCCCGTATGGTCCCCCAAGCACCGCCAGGAGGAATTCCTGAGTGCAGAGCCAGGAATAACCCTGACCATCGCTGGGTGTGACCCAAAAAGAAAAAAAAATGGCGGCCTGTGGCGCCTAGGCGGGCAGAACAATCCCACAAGTCAATGGATTTGGGAAGTCAGCTTGCAAATGGACAGCCCCTGTGCCAAATCGATCCATCACTTTATGTGTTTGCCAGTGGGGTTAGCCAATACATAGGTCTATACTTTTACTGCTTTCTTGTCTCTTCCTGTTTACTGAGTCAGGATTGTTAGATTTTGCAATAACAATTGTGGAAACACTCATTTCTCCCTTTGTCTCTGTCAAAGTCTATTTCCCATATGTAGAAGCTGTTTTTGGGTACACAAATATTTTTGAAACCTACAGTTACCCTCATGGCATTATTGCCTTTGATTTGTCTGCTTTTAGTAGTTTCAGTCCCATTTTCTTCAACTAAACTTGGCTTCTTTCTTCGTTTTCATAATTTCTGCCTTTTCCCGGGCATGTTTAGCCCTTTAACATTGAGTGTATTCTTTCCTATAACCGGATTCACATCTCTACTTTTCTGACTGCCTGAATCCGTTTGTGCTTCTATTTTTAAAAAAAAAGCCTGGGGCTGGAACGATAGCACAGCGGCTAGGGCATTTGCCTTGCATGGCCGGCCCGGGTTCAATTCCCAGCATCCATTTGGTCCCCCAGCACCGCCAGGAGTAACCCCTGTGCATTGCCGGGTGTGACCCCTCCAAAAAAGCCAACAAGATGCCCTCTCAATTCTGGTTTCTGGGAAGTCCAAATTCAAGAACTAGAAGATTTCTCTGCTCAAAAACCCAGGTCTGCAGGAGTAGTGACTGAAATCTCCAGGCTAGCGCAGAACCGGGAATGGGCGAACTCCACCATCTCCCTATGCTTCTAGTAGCCTGGCAGTCACACAGGAACTGTCTCTGGCACCATATGATCTCATTAACGGCCATGATCCAGGCACACAGAAATAAATCTCCTGGAAGACAGCAACCCAGAATGATAGTTCAGAGAGATGCCTCTGGACCCCAAAGTCACCATCCAGTTAAAAAAAATTAAATTAACCTCACCTGTATAACAGTATTTAAAATTTTGGAATTCCTGGAGAGTGCAGCCGCAAATGACATCTTATTCTTATACAAGGGCTTAATGGCTCCAGAGTGAAATACAACAATCTTCACATACTTTCTTCCTCTGAGGGAATTTTGAGTGGATTATTCATAACAAGCAATACAAAATAAATTATTTAGGTTCTGCTTTGGGGGCTTCGGGATCAGGGTAGAAACATTTGAAATATGGTGGTGGGTAGGTGTAATGGTCCTGAGATTGGTGTTGGAATATTAAATGTAACAAATTATTGTGAGCAACTTTATACAAATAAAATTTAATTTAAAAATTTTAAAAATAAAAAAAAACTAAAGAATTAGAAAATTCTGTGTCTGGCAAAACCCCACTTCCTAATTCATAGATGGGTATGACAAACAAGCCCAGGAAATTCTAAGGGCCTTGGGAGGGGAGGGGGCTCCCAAGCAGTGCTCAGGAATCCAGGAACCCCCTAAGAGGTGTGCTGTTCACCGCGAGGATCCTAAAGTGGAGGAAAACCTCCTGAAGTACTAAATGGCTGATTGCTTTAAACACCCTGGGAACCACTCTGTCCCAGGAACAGAGCCTGGTACTGTATATGTGAGGTGTACACCTGAACTGCCATTCTCTCTCTCTGTCTCTCTGTCTCTCTGTCTCTCTCTCTCTCTCTCCCTCTCTCTCCCTTATGCTCTCTCTTACCATTGTTTCCTTTGTTTTTTGTTGTTGTTATTTTGGGGCCACAC